TATAGATCGGGATTTGGTTGCGGGGTGGATTGGGGGTGCGGTATAGGAGGGCGTCAGTGGGTCTAAATTGCTTGCCAGCATAGTTGTGGCCTTCAAGCCACCTGCATCTCGGATGCCCTTGGCATGGTTTCTATTCTTTGAACCGCAGGCTGCGTGCACTGCCCAGATTGCTGGCAGTCTGAATGCACCACGGCTGCAGGGCGGGATAGAGGGCTAAACAAACCTTGCACTTGGTGTGTTTGCGCATCTGCACTGTCACTGCCAGTTTATGACTGCTTCGTTAAGGCTTTCCCGAGGCTTGCTGGCTGGGCATTGCGTTTCAACCAAGGAAGTGCAAGTAGACGACATGGTCGGAGTCAAATGGTCGAGGCCACAACTCAGGAAGTCGTCCTTCTGCATAGATGGGTGTATTGCGCGGCAGTGTAAGTGCAAACGCACAATGACTTCTGAAATCCCATGCCCGAAAAGCTTGAAGACTGCTGCCACAAATGCCCAGTGAGTCGTGAGGATTTCTGGCCTGCAATATCCACATTCGAATCTTTCAGGGACCTGGGCTTCTTGGGTGGGGGGGGGGGGTTATTTGAAGGCAGTGCCTGGCGCAGCGCGATGTGCGATGTTCGTGAAACATGCCTTGGCACATCTGCATACGGAGGAAGGGCTGTGCACGTGAGCGCCCCCTGTTCCCCGGTGCTGCATCTAAGTATCGTGATACGCCCCTTAAATTAAAGCCTGCGATGACGATCTTGACACAAGACGAGTTACAAAATGCAGACCGGTGTATCGAAAGGGTCGATGACGCTCTTTCTGGGTTACCTGAGGGTGAGCATCGACACGCGCGTGATGCCACGTGTGCAAACGCATCCGAAAGCACGCCTGCCCAACTCCTTGTGATAAAAAGTGGCACCTCCTATCCCCGAGAGTATCGTCACACTTGCGTTGTCATCCTCTCTCGGAAACATATAGCTGCATAGCTCATTTTCAAGGGACTGCCCGATACCGCAACACCGTGAGCGCATGAGCGAAGAGCTTTCAGTCCCAGCGGAACAGGACAGGAACATCCAGTCCGGGAACGTCTCGAACCCATCTCGATCTCATTTGACCAACTTCCGGAGAGCTCGCATCTGCTGAGCTCAGCCGCGGTACAGACTCTGATAAGAGATCGATGACACGCCCACAAGTTAGGTTGGGTTGATCTCTCTTTCGGTTTCAGTCAGAAATATCACATTCAAGACTCACCTTCGACATGGAAGACCCGAATTTTCTTACAGCTAGCCTTAAATAAACTACTCGTACCAGTTTTGCCGAAGTGCAGGCCTTTCTGACTTGTCTGGAGAAGCTTCAGAACCAATGCAAGGCAGGGGGTTTCTTTGTTTTCGAAGTACACGAGTACACCGGTGTGCCTCTCCGGGTCAATCGTCTGCAAGCCGCAAGCAACGTCGGCTTGTGTCCAGGAGTCCAGGTGCCCTTCCCGAAGCAGCGCAGAGGGCAGGAAGGGAGCGGAGGCGCGGTAGCCCTGTGCGGTAGCTCTCTGCTCTTTCTTGGGGTCTCCGGAGCTGCACAGCTGAATGCATCAACTGCGAGCACGCAGAACATCACAGAACACTGGCAATCAGTCAGCCCCAAGTCAAAGCTTTAGTCAATGCCTTAGCCTTCAACGGGAAACCTGCCCACACGCTCCGAGTCGAACTTTGGTGAGGAAGTGGCGGCATTGCAGCACTGAGTGTCCTGGAGGACCAGCCCTTGCAAGCACATTGGCCACAGTCGCCACAAGAAGCTGCTGTCTTGCGCATCTTTCGACGGTGTTTATCTAAACAGGGCTTCAAGCCTGCAAAGCCAACACCGTGCACTTCATTTAAGTCTAAGGTATCATTGCCCCGTCTCCAAGTATTTAGCTTCATGCTGGCAGGAGGCATCCGACTGATACGGCTTGATCACGCGATTGATCGACACAGGAAAGTCCATTCAGGTTGTTAATCAGACGTTGGCCTCAAAGGAGTCGCCAACCGTGCCGCAGTGCGGGGACAGGCAAGAATCGTCTGGCGCGCAACCGAGGAACAGTGGAAAAAGGAGGAAGGTTTTGCAGCTGAAGCTGCCAGTAGGGTCATCTGAAAGCACTTCCTGCGTCTGTGATGGATCCGGCAGGCAACCCTGACAGGCAACCCCGCGCACGGCTTGGTAGCCTGCCCCTGCCCCTGCCCAAATCTATGAACACTGATAAACACATTGTGGCCAGGACTTTGGGGGGGTGGGGTGGGGCTTGTCCACCGGGTGACCATGCACGTAGGCGATCTTCACTTGAGAATCGGCCGCCGCTGCCCCGCAGCCCCTTTATGCCGCCTCAGGTAGGAGCTGCCCAGACACACGTCAAACGCTCGGGGTCAAAATCACTTAGTCGTTCTTCCTAATTTTAACCTTTGGTGTCCTCAAGATGATGGGGTCGCTTTTGCATCCAAGGCTTCGAAGGGCAAAGCTTTGCCCAAGCACCCCGACAACCAGAGCCCCACAGTGGCAGAACATCTCAAAGAGCCCAGCACTTTCAGGCAACAGGTGTTGTCAGCCGACAGCTGGCTTTTCTTCGTGAACTTCAGGTCCGACCTGGGCCCAGCCCGTTCAGAGGCCTCATGCTGCTCATATCCGCTCATGTTGCTAGCGCGTCTCCAGTTCAGGAGTCGCGGATTTAATAATAAAGCCGTTCGAGCAGACTAGCTGTCGCTCGAAGTCCTGTACTCACAGAGCATCTTCAATACTTAGAAATCCGAAACGACTCTAAGCGCACAAATGAAGAGAAGCTGCCACACGATGCATCACGGTATTGCCCTGGCGCAGGCCATGACCCTCGGCTTGCAATGGATCGTGGACAAGCCTCTCGGGCTATTTGATGCTATCAGATGATGCGAGAGCAATTAGTCCCAAGTGAATCCTGGACCATGCTGGAAACCAGGGTTTCATCCGAACTCGTCTCAAGCACCCACCCCATGCTACTCATTCGAGCGGTTTCAGAATATTTCAGAAAAAAGCCACGAGTGCCCTGTGTCTCTGCAGTGCCTCGTTTATGCAAGCCAAGGTCGTTTCGAACTTTGTTCTAGAATCGTTGCTCTGGCGAGTGCTGGATGCTCACGACCAAGGATCACTTTCCCGTCGCCCCAGTCATCTTATTCTCTTACGGCCATGCTGGCTCACTTGCACATGGGGGGGTAGGGATCGGCGTCGGATGATCCTCAGCAGGCTTAGGGTGGCTTTAGGGACTGTGAACTGCCTAGCAAGCTCGAGTTTGTGCTAAGTTTGTGGGTGCGCTTGCTTTAGCTCCTTGCAGCGCGCCTCGGGATCTCGGGGTCTCAAAGCTTTGGCATTGCATGTGACGTTTACCCCGATCTGCATCTTGTCCCTTCCCAAGCCCTCGCTCACACTTTAAAAGCCCTCAAGCCCTCCAGCCCTCAAGCCCTCAACGACTCTCAAGCTTCGAGCATCTCGGACTGTAACCTGCAAAAGGTCTCAAGGTCCCAGCCCCAGCCCCCCCCATAGCTTCCCCATAGCTTCCCAATAGCTTCCCAATAGCTTCCCCATAGCTTCCCAATAGCTTCCCCATAGCTTCCCCATAGCTTCCCCATAGCTTCCTCATAGCTTCCCCATGGCTTCCCCAAAGCTTCCCCACAGCTTCCCATCTCCGCCAGTCTCACCCGGAGCTCTTCTTCGTGCCGAGGGGCAAATCATCGACGCATCCAGGAGCGCGGCGCCAAGAGACCGTCACTAGGGCATGCTCTGTCTACCAGGCTGTCTACCAGCATTGAGAGTGCGGTGAGATCTTACGGGAGATGCTGTGGAGGGTCGCAGAGGGTCCCAATTTGGCCGCACATCTGGGGATGACCCAGAACGGAGCTCAACGCCCAAAGCGCCAAAGCTAGACCCTACCCCTAAAACCCTAAATCTTAAACCCTGAACCCTAAACCCTAAACCCTAAACCCTGAACCCCTAAACCCTAAACAGCTTAAGATGCTCATGGCTAGTTACCGCATCCAGACTCCAGAGCCACAATCTCGAAGCACAGCTCTGAGCCGTAGAGTTGCTCCAGGTACCCTGCATGCTCTACGCAGTAAGGCAAGGGGCTCCCGTGGCTTGGCAAAAGTGGCAAATCCTGGGCAGATCCACTTTGTGGCATGTTAGGTACGGATGGTTCAGAAAGAGTGGGGCTGGCTCGTGCTGGTGGGCTTGTTTGCTAGAAGTATGTTTCGGCTTTTGGTGCAGAAAGTGTCTTCTCTCAAAGCTGCACAAATGCTGTAAGCATTGCAGCAGTTGCACCAACGAAGCAGGCCTGAAGTTTCACCATGTGCCCTCAATTCCAAACACTGCCGAACCCTGCCAAACCCTACAAGGAACCGTGGCTGTGTTCAGTGCATTGCCGTGCTTCCAGGTGTTACTTGTGCATGCCCACAGCAATGGCTGTGACATTGGCGATATGCGGCAGACGCTGCAGAGTATTTCGGAATCACTCAAGGTGCACGTCCGGCTGACACGCTTCGACCAGGGTGCTTCATGTCTCTTTCCTTCCACTTCGGGCCTTTACGCACAGGTCCCTGACACGCTTCTCTCGCCGATTAGAGTGCTCACAAGCACCCCTTCCCTCCTCCTCCTCGTTTTTGGTCTGAACTCTCCTGACTTCCCTGTGACTGGAGGGGAGGGTGTAGTCGGGGAGGCTAGGGCCGGGCCGGAACCCTTTGGTCGAAGGGCTGGGGTGGCTCTTGGGGGCCTGGAGCCCTGAACTCCCAACCTGTTAAAGACAGTCTAGCATACTCCAGATTTATCCATGTTCCCCAGGTAAGCTGAGTAATTGCCTGGTTGAAACAACATGGCAGCACCAGGATATCCACATAAAAAGTTGGGGGAAGCTATTGACACGAACGAGATGAGTTTGAACACCCGCTCGCACCTCGAACGAGTTGCTCAACATCACAGAGTGTCGGTCCCAGATCCCGACTGCCAAAGTAAGACGCCATCGCCAGGTCATGTCTTTCGAATTTCCAGGTTATGGCCTCCATATGGGAAGCGCCAGCATGAGGCCGCTTGGCCGCGCAAATCTACGGGATTCCGCGGTCCTAGGGGCTTCGGGCAGGGCTTTGGGCAGCACAAGGCAAGAGCTCCGCGCAGCTGCCTCGAGCACTTACTCCCCTATTCCTGCTCTGCACCCGCCTGTACACAGGAAGCCTGAAGCCGAAAACCCAACGTCTGAAGCAGTTTAGGGTTTAGGGTCTAGGGTCTAGGGTTTAGGGTTTAGGGTTTAGGGTTTAGGGTTTAGGGCAGCTCAATTCTCCCAGGTCTATAGATGAGGCAGCTGCGGCGGTCTTGCTGCTTGGGTAGCAGGAAGGGGTTCCGCGCCAACTTGGCCCTGGCAAGGTGCATGTTGTGCAGAACCTGTGCACCCACGACTCCCCAATGTTTGCAGGGAACGCCGTGCTGCTGGCACTACATGCTACCATGCTGCTAACTGGTCACTGTTAACTTGATTGACTGGTCTTTGCTACAGCTGAGACACTGAAGCGCATCCTGCAAGCACCAGCCCGTCTTGCCCGTGCTACAGTTGATCTCAAACATGATGGACTCAGCCAAGGAACTATATTGCCAACGACTTGAAGATCAATCTCTCACAGGCAGCTGCCAAGTTTGGGAGCATGCAAGATGCGGGTTTAGGGTTTAGGGTTTAGGGCTTAGGGTTTAGGGTTTAGGGTTTAGGGTTGCGTTAAAGTGCATTCTCAAGGAGCCTGGGAGCAGGAGGTACCTGGCAATATGGGGCATGCAATCTTCGAGCCACTGCGTCTTTGACCCCATAAAGGTCCCATGCTCTTTGCCTGACCCTAAGCCCTAAGCCCTAAACCCTAAACCCTAAACCCTAAACCGTACTCTCTAAACCCGAAAACCCTGAACCCTGAACCCTAAACTGCCCCATGCACAGTTTGTGTTCTCGAGAGGTAGTTTGGTACGGTCGTTCCATCGGTTCGGGACCCGCTCTCCGTGCTGTACATCGCATCTCGAAGGAGCTCCTCTCGGCTTGGGATGGAGTGGAAAGGGGTCTAGGGTTTAGGGTTTAGGGTCTAGGGTTTAGGGTTTAGGGTTTAGGGTTCAGGGTTTAGGGTTTAGGGTTTAGGGTACCTTCGCACGTTGCTGCAATACTTACTTGGTTGTTTCCAACTCAAATACGCGAATGCGAAATCTAGGTGTGCAGAAGCCCAGGCTCCGCGGCCGGCAACTCCCCGAACCCCACTCAAACGGCTAGGCATGGCCAGTCTTTCACCGTCAACCATTGCAACATAGGGATGGATGGGGACAGACTGGCCGGCAGATGACTGATAGGTCCTGTCTTTGCGCTTTCAGAATCGTACCAGTCGATGTTGAAGATTTTGGGTGATGTAAATGGTGTACTTGATTTCGGACGTATCGCAGTGCAGTCTTGGTTTCAGATTTCAGGAGCTCAGCCGAACTGTTGGTTTCAGGGCCTGCACCGACTTTTGACTGGGCCTTAGAAGTTTTTTGCAGGGTAACAACAGGCATCCCACCAAGCGCCGCAGAGTCGCCTGCGCACCCGCCCTGAATCCGAAGTCCTCGCGCCCTTACAGCTCTCCATGCCTCCTGAAAACACACATTTCTGAAAGAACCCTGCGCGCATTGCAGCAAGGAGTTGAAGCAGCAGCCGGGTGGGGTGGTCCTGCAGTGTGGCTTTGCCAACTTCCCGGAGGCGCCCCGAAACCTGCGAATCTTGAGGGTGCAGGGCAGGATGCGCAGGATTTGTGGACTTGGGGGGCGGCCTGTTTCAACAGCGGTTTCAAGTTGTGGCTTGCCCAACATCATGCAGCACTCATGAATGGTGCAGGATGGAATATGGTGGTTTAGGCTGGGCTCGAGGCTCTACGATTCTACTCTGTCTTTTCTGATGTTGGGTACGGGCCGGGGATCCCCACAACAGTAGCTCAAGCGCATTTCGCCAAAGTCCAAACCAGACACAGCAAAGGAGGCTCGAACTCAGCCACGTTCCATTGTAGGAGGGTTTAGGGTTTAGGGTTTAGGGTTTAGGGTTTAGGTAAGTTACTGAGTTGCTTTTGCCGCAGATGTTCGCAGGTGGCGGGCCACCTCTTCGGCCGAGTGGCAAAGCGCCTCGTGAATCGTTTGTGGCCCAACGAGGCCCGGGGGGCCTGAGGGTTTAGGGTTTTGGGTTTTGGGTTTAGGGTTTAGGGTTTAGGGTGTATTCCAGACTCGGCCCTTTCAGAAACAGAACGCAGTCTCATGTACCTTCCCTGGCCTCTTTCGTGCCCAACGTTGGCACCAGTGAGGGCAATCATGGTGCTTGTGGCATCCAGGCGATGATGAAGGAGATCAGATGCCCCGTGTTGCTCATCCACGGGCGCCCCCTGGCTCAGTGAACAGGTTGGAGGTTGCTGGACAACTACGCTGCGGAAGCTACCCCAGACGTCTACCTTTGGATGGACCTGGATGCACCCTCTAGCCACACCGTTTGCTTACCGAGGCAACGACACCATGATTCCCATTTCGCAGAGCGAAAAGCTTTGGGAAGCTGTCAACATGAAGGCGGGAGATGATCGAGTCAGAAGAGATGTACTGGTAGCCGGGCCGGGCCTTCTAAACAGACCAGTCATGGCCATTCAACACCTGTGTTTGCGTCAGAAGAAACCTAAATTTCTCTAAATTGGGCCTAGTCTGAACCACCTCGCCACTTTGTTCAGGGAGTCCCAGGGCATGGGGGGTCTGTAGAGAGGGATGGATTCATCGGAGGGTTTTCAAGGGGGCTCTCCCAAGAAAGACACAGTCTGTGAAGCCTGGAGGAAGTCCCCCAAACCCCGCACCCTAAACCCTAAACCCTAAATCCTAAACCCTAAATCCCACACCCTAAACCCTGAACCCTAAACCCTAAACCCCACACCCTAAACCCTGAACCCAAAGTTAGGTTATGCTCCGCTCTTTTGTTGAGCTATGTTGGAGCGCACACGCTTCAGGAGGACTGCCCCAGGCCCCTTCGCAGCCTCTCACTGCCTTTTCAGGAGCTTAGCCACTTTCACTCCTGTGACTGTGGGCACAATGCCGCTCGGCAGCACGTCGCCTTACAGTTGTGGCACGGGCATAGAGACCATATGTTTATGGCAGCGCGTTTTTCTCAGCCTTTTTGTGCCGCTAGCGCCTGAATGTGCGTGCGCAATGCGCAGATGCTCTCCTCATACCGAGCAAATGTCTTAGTCGAGAAATCTTAACATGATACTTGTGAGTTGTTCACAATCACCCCTTTAAAAGTACGCAAAGCCCCTTTGGAGCGCTTGACAGAGTGTCGGAAAGGCAATCCGCAAACGTCCTTCAGATTGCTCCTAGGGCTTGCATGACAACGAAGTACTTCGAGACAGCGTTCGCCCACCACCTGACTTAGTCACATTGCGTTGAAGGAAAAGCCAGGTGCCCCCAGTACTAGCATTGTAGTACCATGAAGATAGAGCACTCCAGCCAGGTTCCGAGAGAGTTGAGGATGCACATCCACAGCTTCACCTGGCTCCCGGAAAATCACGCAGAAAAAACGCGAGGTATGATGTTTTTACAACTCTCCGCATCCCAACCAGAAATGCCCATGGCAGCTGTCGCAAGGGACGACTGCTTGTCGCTCAGGATTTCAATTTCCGGCGCTGCACCCTGCGTCCCATCTACGACTTCCTCCTGGGAGTTGGGGCCTCGAGAGTCGAGGGGCCTGAGGTTCGGACGTTCCCTATGCATATGTATATATATATATAAAGAGAATAATCTATATATATATATATATATATATCTGTATATATATATATATATATAAGTATATATATATATATACTTACATGATTTCTGCCAGATCCTGGAAACTGCTACTTGTCTTCCACGCATGTCTGGAGCCCCCGAAAGCTAGCAGGCACAAGGCTCCGGATCTCTCAAGCCGCTCTCGGGAAGCTGTCCAAACCTTGAAGCGCATTGAACATTGCAACATCTGACCGAATGCATCCCCGAAACCCAGGTCATCAGCTCTCCCAGCTTTCCATCCACGAATTTCCAGATTGATCTGGACACCAACCGTCGGGCGTTCCCCTGGCAAATTCAAGACCGGGTCGGTTTTTCTGCACCCCTAGACCATCCAAATCCCAAAGCCTGAAATCCCTCAGCCCCATGGGGTCTTCAGGTATGTGCACGAGTACATCGGCAATCATGTCTTGGTTTCACTTGGTACTTGTAGAACCTCACGAGCAAGGTTTCAGAGCAGGGCACTTCTTTGATACATTTCTTTGATACACAACCCTAAACCCTAAGCCCTAAACCCTACACCCTAAACCCTAAACCCTAAACCCTAAACCCTAAACCCTAAACCCTAAACACCAGTCTTCATCCCTCAGCCCTCGTCGTCCCAAGGGTCAAGACCTTGCCAGGTTCGTCCGTCACATCGGGCCTCTGCGCCCGCGCATCCCCGCCCGTCCCTCAGAGGCTTTTTGTCCATCTTTTGTCTACCTGAACACAGCTTCTGCCTTTTTTGTATGGCTCCCCTGGTGCGAGGTTTAGGGTTGAGGGTTTAGGGTTCGGTGTTGAGGGTTTTGGGGTCGAGACTGTGGGTCGGTCAGGGTTTGCAGATGTTCGGGTGGTTGACAATCGCAAGAGAAGGTCCGACCAGCAAGTACTAGGGGGTCTGATGGCTGCCTGACTCTCCATGCCTGTTGGCTCGCAGCTTGACTGTGTAAATCTCAGTCTGACTGTTACACTGCAGGTCGGATCTGAGGCTTGACTGGTGCTGAAAGTTCAAAGTATGATGGTGCAAGTCTGACTTCATTGGCATCCTAAGCTGCTCAGGGAAGCACTCCCGCCCCCCTCTTCCCCCTCCCCCTCCCCTTTGGGATGTGGGCCTTGTTTTCGAAGTTTCAGCTTAAGTGCGACGTCTGCTGGCCCTCGACCCGCACTGCCGAAGGCCCCTGTCAGATTTCAGGCACTCCCGGTACCCGTATGTTCCCGTTGAGCTGACAGGCATTCCTAGCTCTTGCCGAAAGCACATCGGAACGCCAACTCCTCGCAGCCCGGTTTCTGGAAGGCTTCTGCATGTGGAGAACCCGACTGCTTTCCTCTTCATGGGTGTCCCCTCTGTGCTGTACTCTGCCTGCTTAAGCTGTACTTGAAGCACAGCTAGTACACGAGTGACAAGCGCACTGCTCTGTGCGCACAAGACTGCCTCTTCCGCTATGCCTGGTCTATCCGTCTATCCGGGTCTGCTTTGCTCCAGCCATGGCCAGAGCATTTTGTTGGTCCAACTTCCTTCATGACTAAACCTCAAGCATGTCGGTTGTAGTTGGTGGCCGTATTTGCCATTCAAATCTTTCCTTCAGGCTTGTTGGGCTGCATGTCTCAAACGCCAAGCGCCCGACGACGAGAAGGGATTATACCCATTTGAGACTGGCTGGCGTCTGCAGCGATTTGGCCATGCGTTGCGCATCTTGTGCGCCCCGAGGTCTACAGCTTCAGACGTTTGGGCCTCAAGGATCTCCATTGTGGGCAGCATAAATTGCAAGTGACGGGTGGGGTGCTGAAACTCGCATCTTGATCCGTTCAAACGCTTGATTGCAGTCGTGACGCCGTAGCTGTCTTAGCTTCCCTACTTATCCCATCCCCCTAGTATTAAACCCTCCCCACCCTTCCCCCCCCCCACCCTTGTAACAAAACCCCCACAATCCCTCAAGGGGTGTTCCAATATTAGGGGAAGGGATTACCTCAGGTTGTGGGGCCTTCCGCATCAATGAACATGTAGGTGTGTTTCGGTGCCCAGGTCCAGACTTGGAGGCGGGCGCGGAGTTCCATGAAGCAAGATTAGGGTTTAGGGTTTAGGGTTTAGGGTTTAGGGTTTAGGGTTTAGGGTTTAGGGTTTAGGGCTGGAGACTTGGAGAGGGCCCCCTTATGTTATTTGCAATATCTTCTTGTTGTTGAGCCGCATTGCTTCTCTACCAACAATCTGTTTTTGGGAGCTTGCTGCTTTTATTCAAGTATTTGCGGTCTTCTACTGTCCTTTAGACGTTCGTTGCAAGTCTATTCTGATGCGGGGGGCTCCAGCGAAGAGCTATGTAGCTATGTCAGGGGTTTAAATCGGCCAGCTCCTACAGCATTGCATACTTGAACGTCTGGAAACATGCCTGGAAGCTCGCGGTCGTTTTTTTCTCCGGATCCCGCTCTTCATCAAGTAACTTCGTGCACTCGCACACTTCTTTGTTCACATCTTTGCAGGTGAAGCAAATATCAAACGAACAGCAAGAGCAAAGGGCGCAATGAAGTGTACCTCGGAGCCTCGCGCTTCTGCTGTCGTCGTCGTCGTCGTCGTCGTCGTCGTCGTCGTCGTCGTCGTCGTCGTCGTCGTCGTCGTCGTCGTCGTGGTGGTGCAACACGTTCCCCCAAAAAATCAACTGTTCATACTAGTACTAGCTGATGACTTCGACAAACTGGCGACAAGCCGGAAAACTTTGTCGTATAACGCATAGCAATCCTAAGCCAGGTATAGCATGCAACAGTACGCTTTTCGGAACTCCACCAAGCGAAAGCTCCACTGACAGGACTGGCTGCTGAGAATCAGTGGCCAAGTATCGGATGCCGCAAAGGCAGGATCAGAACCAAGCAGGTGTTCTGTTGTGCCTCTTAGTCATTTGGCTTAGCCAGACGAAGACGTCATACGGCGGTGGCCTTGCATGCGCGGGAACGAAACCCTAAACCCTAAACCCTAAACCCTAAACCCTAACCCTAAACCCTAAACCCTAAACCCTACACCCTAAACCCTAAACCCTAAACCCTAAACCCTACACCCTAAACCCTAAACCCTAAACCCTAAACCCTATGTCAAAACGAGGCCGGCGATTCCTCGCCGCAGGCAGTCGAGTCGGCCAAGTCAATGCTCGGACCTCGAAGTCGGGGTTCACACGGACGAAGCGAGCAGAGAATCGCCCCCTGAATTATACATGCACCCTTAAAGGGTCTATGTATACATAGAGGGCCCTTGTAGACTCCCTTAAAGGGTATATATATATATAGGGCCCCCTATAGACGGGTAAATAAATAAATCAATAAAAAAGTATTTTTATTTAATACGCTGGAGGACACAGATGCAAACACCGACTTTAGTTTCTAGGTTGACGTATCGCATGACGGTCGAGCTTTGTTGACTTTGTACGGTGCTTCTTCACCTCTGAGTGAAGCATCTGTCTGCCGGTAATTGCAACTTTTAGATGGCCTAAACGAAAGCTCAGTGTCATCACAAGTTGCAGCCAAGGGCTCTGAATGAAGAGCAAGTCAAGCGAGAGGACCCTGTGCAGGGCTTGAGGAGTCCAAACTATCGGTACTGAGCAGATGCCTTGGCATCGTTCGACTGCATAAAGGTTTGGGTCGAAAGGTCCACTTACGGGTTTGTCACGACTTGTTCCATAGCTTCAGTTACAGTCCCGATTCAGAGCCAGGACACAAACAGCACACAGAAGACGGCAAAATTCGAGGCATGCTGTCTTGATCTGCGGTGATCTAGAGTCTATGCGCGTCGCATTGAGGGGCTTGGACTTTGTGCGCCCCAGATAATCTTTGCTGTAAGGACGTGTGAGGTCCCATTGCAAGTGCTGAGAATGCAGCGACAGAGGGAGCCAAGAAAAAGCAATCCAAGCAAGCAGCTC